GTTGAGGCAGTTAAATCATTTTGAATGACTAGTGTGACAAGTCTCTGTTAGTGATATATAGTACTTGAACATATAGGACAGCATCCATGTTTTAACAAGTTCTGCAAAATAGAAGCTGTTTTGTTTATCCATTTTCTGTTCACTTGTCCTGGCAAGAGTCACAGCAAATAGAACTCGAGCTCAATATGATTCTGTTATTTAATGGTGTGCCTTGGCTGTAACTGTAATTCAACATTTACTGTATGTTGCAATGTAATTTATGGAAAAATACAAAAGCTCCACCTGTATTCGGTGGTCTCCTCATCAGATTGTTTCCTTCAGGCATTAAAAACAGAAATCAGAAATAAACAGCATGTGAAGAATATCATGTAGGTGTAACTGCTCAACGGCAGTATAATCTTGCTCTGTGAGTTTTCAAGCTTTACATTGTGCAAAAGTTTCAAAGAACTAGTGAAAACTGAACTTTTCAGCAAAAACCCAGTGACAACAGTTACCACAAAATGATAGTATTTCTTGATTATATCAAACTGCTTTAAATGTCAGAAATGAAGCCCTATACTGTAGCTTAGAGTGATATATTTTGTGAAGTCGGACAGGAGTGTCCTTTGCTATATAGAAGTTTCACGTCACGGAGTGTGGAATAAGGCTTCGTTGGCGTTGCTTAAGAAGAGGAAGTTTGGCTGTGCAGGAGGGCCCGTGTCTGGCTGTGTTGAAGTCCTGAGAGTAGTGTTTGTGTTCCAGGGAAGAAAGGCCTGCTTGTTTGAGGCGCCGCTGCTGCAGGGGTGGGGTAGGAATGTGGTGCCTGTATAGGCTGTGAAGAGTTTCCTGTGCCCTCCCCCTCTTCCAGGCTGCGGAATTGGGCATCTCATCAAGGAGTGCAGGGAAAGGCAGGCTGACCTCAAAATGGTGGAGCACTGAGCTGCTGGAAGTTCTTAAACACTTAAGGTGGTTTGTTGTGGGACTGGAGAGGTGTAGGGGATTGGGGGGAAGGGAAAGGACATTAAACAGCAAGTTTTTCTCAACATTTAGCTCCGTCTTTCGATAAAGCCCCAGCTTTTGGGTGGCTTCAACAGTAGCGCGGAGGCCTAGCCTTCTGTTGAGGTCCCAGACAAAAAAAATCTGGAATGTCTGAATTATAATTAGACCAGCAATTTCCATAAATTATCTGTGGGCAAATGATACACCAGCAACTATGATTTAGCTAATTCTGGTTTGCAGTTTTGCCAGTACTGAGAGGAATGTGAGATGCTGCAGCTGTTTTGTTTTTGTTTGGTTTAATTTAGATTTTTTTCCCTTTAACTGGCAGTCAGTTATTAACATGTTTTAATTGAAATTAGGAATGCACTGTAATTCTGCATCATAAATGCTAATGGCCTACTCTTGAGTTAACAGCCATGTCCTAATTAGTTTCATTTTCACCATGAAAAGAAGTTGTTTCATTTCAAGCCTTTCAATATCCCTACATTTACTGAACATATTAGCTTTCCTCTTGTTTTGCGATATTTAGTGTTTACTCTTGGATGCTTTTCTTCAAGCGTGTGTACATTTGGCAGACTTTTCTTACTGTAAATGACCATATTAAGGTCATGTTAAAATCCAGACTCCCCTTTAAACTGGAATATTTTCACCTTCAGCCAAATATGCTATGGCCCTTTTTCTATTCAGATATACAATTTAATAAGTTTTAGGAAAAATCTTTGACATGATTTTTAAATCTCACATACAGAGCATCATCTGGTAGTTTCTGTTGCAAAGGCCTGCCAGAGTCAAATAGGTAACCGTACAAAAGATTTAAATTGTCCCATTTTCTCGCAGTGTTCAACACCCAAGGTGCTAATATCCACATATGTCTATCTGTATTAGAATGTACGGAACATACATTCCAGACTGCCAGACAGCTGCATTTTGTCTTTCCTTTGTTGTTGCAGATCTAAGGAAAATAGTTTATTGAAATAAGAATCTCTTCCTTCAGACTTTTGAGACTGATCTTACTTACTGCTGCTCTGTGCAGCCCAATACATCTACTTAACTCTGAAGGAGAAAGCTCCCACCAGAGAGAGGGAACACACCATCCAGCTGTATGTCATCACAGTGGTCTCTTCTCTTTTGTATGCAAATAAGTGATGTAGGGTTCCACTATTTATCTACTGCAAACAGCCTAGAAGATATATTTTACCAAATTGAGTCTTGGAAATACTTCTGATGATGTATGCAAGAAGTGTAACTTCTGTATTTTAATTTTGCCTTGAAATAGTTTCCCAATTCCACACACACACTCAGAAACAACTAGGTAATTATTTTGTGTGAATTAGGCCCATCATGTCTTGGTTTTTATTATTGCTTTTAACAGTTTCAACTTGTGCCTTTTTTCACATTTTGCTGGAAATTTCAAATATGCAAATATCGCCTCTAATTTAGGACAGAGAAAGGCGCTTGTTGCGTAATTCTGAATCACACATACTGTTTTTAATGAAAGGAGAAAAATTGTTGTCTCCTTCAGGAAGGTCCCTGAGCTGCTGCAGCACAACATTTTTTCCCCTTGTAGAAAGATCCTTACTGTCACATCGATTAAGAAATAATCTCTGATAGGTGCACTGTTCCTGGCACTTCAACCCCAAGTTTTATGCATTAGTGGTATTTACTAGATAACCAGCTTACTGGTTAATATATAGAATGCTGTTTAATTCAGTACAGTATAGTATTTTAGTACAATTTTATTAAGCTTAATGATAAGAATTTTAATATTAGTTTCTCTCTTCTCTTGCAGCCTTTGAAGGATTGGCTATAATATGTTTCACATTTGTGAAAGGGAAACGTCTGGGCGTCTGAACGTCCTTGTGTGGGTGTTTGACAAAAGCATTTAAAGTGGATAACAGTTTAGCTGCGCAGAATTTTCCACAGCAATGTGAAAGTGCTGCTTAAAACCAGAACAGATTTTTTTTTACTTATTTATCTTGCTTGATTTCAGTGGCTGACTCCCAAAAATCAAGTTTTAAGTGTCTCGTTATGAACTTTTTTATATCTTGTACTGTGCTGGAATATCACTTAAGGTAGTACCCCCTGAACGATCACTTGTTACATGTGCATAGAAGACTGTTGAGTTGTGCCCAGATTCGGTGCCGAAGTTCAGAAAATGGGGTTTCAGGTTTCTCCGAATGGAGCCAAAAACCCATTTAGTTAGAAACGTGTGAAGGGCTTTAGTGCCTGTTATTGTGTTGGGCACAGTGTGAGCAGAGGAGTGGCAGAGGCAACAGTGGTTGTACCTGTTTTAAAAGCCCAGAGGGAAGCACAAGGGCAGGAAAGAGATTCTTTGCAAGTTCAATATCCTGAAATCCTTGCATATTCTGGAGCTGCATTTTCCGCTCCTCAAATTGTGCCTTCTAAAGGTGTAATCTCTTATTTTCAAATGGTAAAGGCGCATGGATTTGTAACTGATGACATTTTTGCAGATATGGTTCAAGCTGTTTTGCAATCCTCATTTCAAAAAACAGTTCTGCTTTTTATTTATTTTTTTACAGTGGCATTTTTTTGCCATTTCAGCAAGTGTTGTGTGTTTCATATTAAGTATAAGCTTTTAAAGTGGCTCAGGATTTCATTAGAACATAAGAAAGAGTACAAGCTAGAGAAGGGTATTTGACCTATCTAGCCCTTCTGCTAGTAGTTCATACTTTCCCTGGTATTTTAAGAATGCTAATGGCATAAATGACTCCTTCATATGTTCCTTCTTAATTTCAATGTGCTGTCTGCATGATTATAGTGAGTAGGTTCAGAACAGTCAATGACTGTCTTCATGGGGATGAGTAGGGTAAGTGGGGATGTAAGTAGGTCTACTAGAATAGTACTGTACAACATTTCCAGAGATGGTAGCCCACTCAGCTATTTTTTTGTTTATGCTCCAAAAATCAATCTCTTAAATTTGTCTACAGTAATATAAAGCACTTAAAGTACTTTACAGTACTAACTGTAAAGGACTTTAAAATAATCTTGTTTTTTGTTAATACATTATTAAATACTGTATTTACCTAGATAACATTCTATGTTAGTTCTACCCAAATCAGAAAGAAACTCGGAATGACAGACAGAGTAATGATCCATCCATCCATTTTCTAACCAAAAACAGACACGCACACACTGACTCCAGGGCCAGTTTTCCCAGAAGCCAATTAACCTACCAGTATGGTTTTAGACTGTGGGTAGGAACTGTAGTATCTGGAGGGAACCCACGCAAATACTGGGTAGAACATACGAAAACTCCACACAGACATCACCTCAGGTCCACAATTGGACCCAGGACCCCAACACTGGAGGAAAGCAATTCTAGCCACTGCATCACTGGGCCACCCACTAATATTCCCTAATGGTCAATGATGGTAAAAAAAAATGAAAGGTTACATTTTGCTACATCATAAATGTTCCAAAAACCAGAACTCAGGATATCTAAGCAGCTATTTATATATTTAGAATGGGTCCAGAAAGATGTGAGAAATGATGATAGTGCTGATTTCTCATTGTGATACTGTAGCCTGTGTATAATATGTATGTCTTGTTATAAGAAATAAAATAAAACTAAGAAATGAAGCCATTCAACTCAATGAGCCCATTCTTTATTAATGCCTAAATGATATCACCCAGGATCTCACCCAGGCCTTTATTGACAGAATTTAAGTTATTGGCTTCAACATGGATAGGGAGCTCTTTCCTTAAAAGGAAATACCATAAATGGATTATAGGATTGTAAAATTGGTAGGATACTATTGGGCCTGAAGATACATCAATCTCCAGTGCTTCTAGCACCTTAAATGTTTCTGCCTCTTCTATGTTATTAATATAAAAATAAGAATTTAGTCCTTCCCTGAGGTACGCTGTTGACTTCTTTCTTAGTGAAACCCTACTTGAAATACTCGATTATTACATGTGCCTAAGCACCCATCTACTAAGCAACTATTGTTCAGTTACTTTGCTAATATTTCTAATGTGCTTCTTTTCGTTTTTTTTTTCAGTTTCCCAGTCAAACAGCCATCTAAAGAAACAGAGGAGTCGAAGCATCTTCAGCACTTTCTTCTGCTGCTTTCGCAACTATAATGTGGAACCACCATCCAGCAACAACAACACAAGCGCCCTCCCTCCACCAGTGGAGGAGAATGGGTCCCTTCCGAAGGTGAGTTCCACAGATTTAAGATAAAGCAGCCTTGTCTGGCCACAGACTGTGTCTGATAAAGCGATCATGAGAGGCAGCAGGGTAGACATTTCTAACTTTTAGAATCACCATTTATGATCAGAAAATCATGAATGGTGAATGAATTTTGTTCCCTTGGAATTGCAGTAATTGTTTTGTGTGGCCAGTTGTCTGTCAGTGTGGACACTTTAAAACTTTGAAAGCAAAATTTTCTAAAGTGGATTTGCTGGAGCAAATAATTGATTTGACACATTGCACAGCTTCTTTCAAAAATGTGATGGTCTTTTCGTCTTGCAATTTAGATAATACCAAGCATCTCCTCAGCTCCCCCTTAAAATAATGATCCCCCCACCTTCACATTTCATGGAACGTATTCTTACAGGAAACTAAGCATGAAAAAATGTGAAATGCTGCAGTACTTCTCTACAGGAATGTCAAAGTATTTTATGACAGTGCAATAATGCAGATGAAAATGTGATTATTATTTTGAATCTGTAAAAAGTTATCACCAGCACACAGCTGTTGTTTCTAGAAACTCAGTATAGTAATTTAGCACTTTAACATCACTTTATTTTCGAGGAGACTCTTCAAAACAAAATGTTTTGAAGTTCGGGTACGTAGAAAGAGATAAGCACCTTCTGAAACTTATTTCTTGGTGTAATCGCACTTCATCTTAATGAGCTTAACGCATTGGTTGTTTGAATCGACGGATACCCTGGCATGAGATCTCTCCACATTGTTCATTTAATCTCTCTTTAAAGGGTGACTTCAAAAAAATGTTCCTGAGCCATGCGCCACACAGTACAGGCTCTGCTAGAACAAATAACACTGCCACAGAGTAGCATCAGTCGTTCACAGATGGTGATTCAGACATAAAAGTAAACATAGGTTATATATATATATTCAGCTTTGTATTCCAGCTTTCAATGCTTATTAGTTGCAGTAAAATGTGAGAAAGCTGCTACACAGCTGCTGCATAGCTGCTACACATTTTGAACATCTTTAATAGTATAATGTGTTTTACTATGGTAGACTGCTTTTCAGTGCCCAGTACGGTCTTCAGTTGACATTTTTGAATTTAAAATTACTGACGTGCTTCTGCTGTATTGAATTTTGTCAAAATACTCGTTATGAAAGTAGTTCTACAGCATTAACATTTAACATTAACATGGCCCTTGAGTCATCTAATAGCATAGTATTATTATACTACAATTTGTATTATTATTCGTATTCATATTATATTATGTTTGGTCTCAGTGATCTTTTTAATGCTTATTCTGTAGTTGTGAAACTTTTAGTAGCTGTAACTTGTTTTTATCTGCATTTACATGGTAAATTAATATTAATTCATTCCAAATGTTGTTGGGATACAATGGTTTTATTCATATTAAACTTACTTTATAACAGAATGCAAAATTTTTCATTTGAAGGGTCAGTCATGAGCACAATATAGCGTACTCTAGGTCTGTAAATTTCTAGACCAGACCTTGCTCAACTTTGAAACACAAATATTAATAGTATACATGGAATAGGTCTTCAACTATAATGCTACGGCTTCGAACCTCAAGACTGCACACGGGAGAATGAAGAAGTGGTGACAGACGCCTCTGACCCGCCCTCTTTCCAGCCTTCGAGTCTGTCACACATTGCAGGCTGCACATTTATCTACAGGAGGTTCAGTGCCAGATGAAGAGAGGCACACCCTCATTACTTTAATGTCCCAAATGGGAAATTTTCTTTGCAGGTAGGAAGAAACACAACACAATGTGATACAATATGAACCCATTAACAAATAAGAGTTATACATGTATAATGAGACAGAAAATAAATAAAGTAAAATATACAGTCAGTTATTAAAATTGAGCAGGATAATAGCTGTGGGAATAAAAGACTTAGTTTTATTGCATTTGAATCTAGAAAGATTAAATTTGACTGCATCGATCTGTTGCTGACAGCCTAGGGGGTCCTGGTCGACTAATCACACGCTAACCTCAACATAACTCAGCTAACTATGCGTTGCTGCTTAGGGTAACACAGAAGGCCCCAGTTAAAATTTATTTTACTGTAGATCTGCCACAGTACTGTGAATGTTGAAGTAGTAGTACTTTTCTAGAACTGACCCTTTCACATTAGCGCCTTAATAATAAATTGAAAAATGTTTCAGAAAATGTGTCCAATTCATAGTGAAAAGAAATGTTTTTGTGTCCCACAATGTAAAGACGATGGTTTCTTCAAATAAATTAGAACATGAAATTAATTAGAAGATTTTTTTATTTAGATGTTAATTATAAAGGAAAAGCAAATAATCCATGGAAAACATCTTAAACTTAATGAAACATCATACATCATACATCAGGTGCAAAAAGTTATAGTTCTTATACTCTGCAGGTAAAGTTTTAAAAAAATATTTTAGTCTTTATATCAGCTAATGCCCTTAATTCCTGGCACAGTCAGAACAGTTTGATATACTTTAAAAGAGTTTCCTTATGTTTTATGCTGGTTAAAGCTTGAACAGCAAGTAATATCTGTAACATGTTCCATCCAGTATGGTATTTACCCATTTGTTTTATAAATAGCTTATAAATTATATCAATTAGTTCAACAAATGTTGGAGTGAGAACAATACACTCTAAAAAAGGAAAGGTACAGATTGTACAGCATGGTAATTCTTTTTAATACTTTTTCTATCATCTCATCTGTTAAACTAATTAAGCACATATACAGTATATGTTTTTTATTCTACAAAGAAGGCCTAAATATCTTCTGTAATGGGGAACTGCATTAAATTTACTACTTAAAATAACTACATAAAGTAGACCAGGAGGCAGGTCTTCTCACAAAGTTTTGTGGGAGTCTGGTACAAGCCACCTAGTCATATTATCTAAGACATGACTTTCTTCAAGATGTCTGGGTGAGATCTTATATCCGTTAGCTTTGAAACCTAAATGAGCAAGATGTTGGAATGGCCTCCTTAACAGAATGCAACATTTATTCTTTCTTGTTTTCGCCTCTCTCGCTGATGCTGTGTGCATTATAAAGGAAACTGAACTGTTTTTGTAAAAAAAATCTGCAATTTCATCTTTAGTTCTCCGAACCAAGAATCGTGTAGTCCTTATTTAGATCAGTCATAACATTGTCAAGTGTTGTGGTACTGAAGAAGTATAAAATAAACATGCATTCGCTGAAGAAATGACTAAATCATGCAGCGTAAAGTCTGGTGAACCTGTAGTGATTCCCTCACTATGCCCAGATTTCAGAATATTTGCAAGCAAACACTTGAATGTGCTTTTCTTCTCTTATACCAAGGAAAGTAGAGGAAAGTAGGGAAGTAGTTTCTGCTGGTGTCAGAGTATGAATTTATACATTTTTATACTTAGCACAAAAAATATAGTTTACAGCACATTCACATTTACTCAGCAGCAAAGATTATTGGAGTGCATCAAAGTCACTTAATGTGGCCTTTTTTGTTAAAATAATACCAAAAACATTCAATCATTTTATTTTTCTAATAGTTTTGGTTTGAATTTTTGATCCAATATTACTGGACTGCTACACTAAGTAATTAAAAACATTTTAACTTGATTTAAAAATGTAATCAAGCCTAGTTATTTTCAGAGGCTTTTAAATTTAAATTTAAATACATTATACATGTATAAACCATCAAAGAGCAGACATTATGGAAGTTTAACATTAATTCTCAACTGTCTTTCTTTCAGTGACTTTTTCTTCTTCCTGTTATGTTTCGTGCTAGACAGATGTACATGCTTCACATGGGACCGATACAAAAATACAATACTTAAAATACTTGAATACTAAAAGAATGTGTGATCTGAGCTTTGATAGACTACAGCCTAGAAAAATGCTTTTAATTGGTCCTAAACTCACACAACTGGTTTTGCGATCGCATTATTGTCAGTGACTCTGACGCATCTCCATAGAAAGTGAAATATGGAAAGAAAAAACACCAATGTCCCTGCTTGCCTGAAAGACTTCAGAAATATACAGTACATGTAATACCAGCACTATGCGCAGCAAGATGTTGGCTTCTTTCTCAACTCCATAAGGTAATGGTATTGACAGGGTGACCCTTCACGTGGAAGAACGTACCATAAAAAATATCTTGCATATGTGTTACTGTCATATAGCATTTATGCAGCAGTTCGCTCCCCCACGTCTTGGATTGTGTGCAGCTGCTATACACCTACACACACAGGAGCATTGAGTCACTAAGGGATATTCATCCAAAGTTGAGCAGAAATCTGTCTGAGGCTTTCAGTTAAAAGGGCAAGGACAGTAAACTGGATTGAAGAGCAGCCCTTTCACTTAGACCTGCAGAGACCCTGTCCTTTTCTAAATACAAATAAGAAGGCAGTGTGTTCGAGTTGAGATTAATTTCCAGTTTGGGTAGACTGTCTTGGTGGTGGTGTGCTCTGTTCTATTGCCAACTGTTTGCTTTCTCTGCCAGTTTGTTTTCCTCTTCCCCTGTTGATTTCATTCTTTTTCTCTGTTTTCATTTCCCAGTGTGACCAGGTGCAGGTCATTCCCATCCCCAGTGTATGTATTATCCTTTCATTCTTTTATTTTTGCATGCTGGTTGTGTTACTGGGGTATAGTGTCGTTTAAAACATGACTTTGCACTCCAAGAATACTGTATAACCATTTGTATTTTAAAAATGAGCAGGGTACTCGTTAGACGTTGAATGTAAATATTTGAAAAAGTCACTCATATTGCTTTGAGAGTTCAGAAAACAGACAACCCCCAGTAATGTGATGGCAATATTAACAAGAAAAGTAGAATCTCCCTGCAATAACCCAAGAAGTGCTGCATTGTTGGTGATGCTAGTGTCAGTGGAAGAGTGTTAGCATGATGAACACTGAGATTTAATACAGTTTAAAGACCTATTTGTATACCCTAGAGATCATGTAAATGGTAGTAATTGGGGTTTGTCCTTCTCCTGAACTTTCAGTATCCGATTAAAGCTGCAGTGTCCCATGTTTTCCCCCCTTTGTCCAAAAAAAATAATCAATAGATGCGTTATTTGCCAGAACAAGAATGAAATTAATTTTGCACTTGTATGCTTTCTAAAGCCGCAGCAGATGTGGATGCTAGGGAGAGTCTATAGTAGCAGGTAGTTGGTAATAGCATCTTTTTTTATTCTGAAGTTGAAATTGAGTACTTACAATTTAATTTTAGATCCATTTGTGCACCTGGCCTGACAGCCCAACATCCAATTTCTCATCTCTTGATTCTCACATATTCTTGACCAGGAAAGAGTTTCTCTGCAGTTTCTGTTGTACATGGTTTGAGCTATACCGGCTGTGGTTAGAAAAATCTGTGGCCATTGGATTAAACTAAAAATGTCCACACCAAAATAAACTTAACGAATAATCAAATAATATTTACTGTACAGATTGTTTCGTAGTTTCTATCTAAAATTAAACTTGATATTAAAATGCTTTTTTAAGTGTTTTTTTAGTCAGTTTCTTCAAGTTCGTTGCTGGATCATAGGAGGAGCTTCGAACAAATAAGCCTAATTTTATTCTTTACTTACGCAACATTCTGGATTTCTGTTTCCTTGGGGAAAGAAAGGGTAGACAACTGTAACTGCGTAGACGAGATCATCCTTAGGAGTTGATGTGTGTTCAGACCTTTTTGCACCTAAGCCACTTTATGCTATTCTGCCTATGCACTGCTCTTATTCATCTGTTCTTGTGTTCTTAATTATCTTTTGTTCATATCCATTTCGAAGTCTAGACCTCAAGATTGGCAATATCGAAAAATAAATGTGTGGGACACTTCATCTTTAAGTGCCGTGTGTGTAATATCAAGAATGTTAAACTGCAAAGCACAATAATAAGCCACTTATTTGAATAAACCTTGAAGTTTATTTTTTCAGGAATTGATATCAAATTCCAGCACTGTTTTAAGTTCTTTTTCATTGCTGTATCTGTAACCCATCTAATGCCAAAAATACTAAACGTGCATGGTAACTGGATAGAACTAAAAAACAAAGCTATATCAAGCACTCAGATTAATTGCATTGTGCTTAAGAATAGTAAAAAGCCCTGATGGGAAAGAAGGGGATGCATTGCAAACTGTTTTGAAAACAAGATGCAAAGAAAAGTTGTACAAATTAGGAGCAGGAAATTGAAAAACTAATTACTGAACCGGAAAATATTTCTTTTAATTGCTCGGGTATAAGCAAAGATCAGGAAACATGCTTCCTTTTATGTACTGGCTTTAATCTGAAAGATACAGCTGTTAAAATATTCCCAGTTCACTTTTCTCACTGTCACACAGAACAACGATATTTGAAGAAAAAATATCAGCAGTTTGCGATTGAGTCCTGGCCTGGCAATGTATTTTTTTTTTCTCTTAAAATGGAAGATAAAATTTTTATTCTTTTTTTTATTTCACTACTTACAAGTTTTCAATTTGTTAATCAGCTTGGCTGACCCCTGCTCAGGCACGCTTTCCCCTAGTTAAACATTTTCATGTTTGTCATGCTGTAAACCACACATTGACTGAAAATAGGACTTGTACATTATTCACTCACAAGACTGCAAACTCACAGGTCCTCAGTAAGTTGATGATACACCTATGTCTGAATGGAGATTTCCACTTACAGTCGATAAAAGACATAGTCCAGACTTGAACCAGCGACTCTTGGGCTAAAGGGTTTAGTTTGCTCTATGCAAGTACTTTTCTTGAGTGAGCTAATTGAGTTAGCAGGTGGGGAGCATCTAATGATAGAAATCTGATAATCGATGCAAATAGTCCAGACATTACAAAATGTTTAATGCACAGATAAGGTAGTTAATCTCTTTTTTTTTCTATTAGAACATTAATCATTGCTGGTTAACAGTTATTTGTCAACTAAAATCTTATAACTTGTATGAATCTGCCCCGAGATGTTTAAGCACTGCATTAAAATAACACATTTCACAGTGGCAAGGCCAAAGCTGTGAACCTGTCAGACATCCAGTTGAGGCTTATCTGTGCAAAATCCAAACAACCAGTAGCCTGGGGATTCCAGTGTGATTCATTCCTGCTTTTATTGCTGCATTTCAATTCATCAGTACAATGTCTTGCAAAGGTATTCACCATCTGCTGTTAATATTACATTTTGATTAATTGTAATGTAGTTTTTTTTTCCCAATTGAAACTTTTAACAAACAATTTGAATACTGTTGTGAGCGAAGGAGGTTTAATGACTGCAATATTTACAAAATATATTGGATGAGAAATCCACCAATTGTATATGTGTATATTGTATATGCCCTCTAAATCACCATTTGATGAAACTCCCTTGGCTGCCATTTCTGCTGTCAGTATTTCTGGAACGGTCTTTATGAACTGTGCAAAGTTGGGTGGTATAGGTTTGTGTATTCTTCCTGAAATGTGACAATTTCGCTGGGTATACCTGATGCAATCGTCTAGTCTTGACTAAATCTAGCCACTCAACATTCACTCTTTTCTTGTCAGACCACTTCAGTATGGCTTTGGCCCTCTGCTTGTTAACAGTGCCTGCTGAAGTGTGAATTTGTCATCCAGTTTAGATAGGTGGAGAGGTATTTCCCTAAGTTTTGCCTATAGCATCTGTTTTTTTTCCTTAATTCTGACAAGTTTCCTAGACCCTGCTGATGAGAACCATCCTATTAAAATGAATAGGCACCAAACAGTTTAATCGCTAGCATGGAGCTGACTGGATGATCTGCTTTGTTGAGCTTGCACTACTTGTAATGCTTTGCATTTAGACCTTCCAAGGTCTAAATTTGTTTCATCTAACCATAAAACCTTCTAACAGATGTCTGCAGTATTACTCATATGACTTTATTTTTTAATAAAGACTTCTTTCCACTCACTCATACAGATCAGCTTTGTGTAGAAACCAGAATATCATATTAACATTAGAATATTTCTGGTATCACTTATGAACAGTGACTTCTATCTTGGACATAGAACATTGTGTATATTTTAAATTCAATGTTGACTTCACATTAGTAACCATAACCAGTTTTCTGCTTGCTTAACTACTCGGACTGGCAAGGCACCCTGATGTAAGTACAGTGTGGATGGCCAGTTCCACCTTTTAATGATGGACTTCACTGTACTCCAAAGGATAATGGACCTCTCCAATCTGTGACATCTTAGTGAAATTGTTGAATCAATATCTGAGTTGCTTGAAATTCAATATCTGAATGAATTACACACAAAAACCAATAAACTAATGTTATGACTTTCAAATTATCTTTGCTATTTGAACTAAATAACAGTTACTGTAGAAACGGGGCTAAATACTTATGTAATTGAGGATCTTCCATTTTCTTCAGAAATTAATCGCATATTATCAGCATGTATTAGACTTAGAATCTGGAGTATAGTGTGTATGTTCCAAATATGAATTTCTCCTAATTGCAAGCACAGATGGTTACAAAAGGTAGGACTACATGCATTTACATAAACTAACTGTGCATGAGTACTGTTCAGTAAATTCGTTATATTAGTTGTAAGAATGTCCAGCTAGTTAAATTAAACTTTGCTGGTACAGTGCTCAAATCAAACTCTGAATGCAATTAACTCTACAGTTATTAATTACTTGACATATTACAGGCACCACAGTAGTACCCCCAAAAAGCTTTTAAATGAAAACTTTCAGTTATGGTAGTTAAAGGCTTGTGTGGGGGCACTTAACTGGAATTATCCACATGCATTTAATCCATTTCTGGGAAGAACCTCTTATGATGTAAAATGGTCCCTGTAAAGATTCTTTGTGTTATGTTTTATCACACTGATGTTATAGAGTATGTAATGTACCTACTACTTTTATTTTCTGGTCCTATAATCTAACCTTAAAATTGTCCAAAAAGTACTGAAATAACAATAGGAAAATCTTGTCACAGACTCTAGAAACAGGCTCTCTGTACACGTACTGAGAGGCTTTATAAATCCAACAAAAAAGTATTTGAAACCGTACCATTTCTTACGTTTTTGATGTTTCTGAATCTATGTGTGAATAACCCATCTAACATCAAAGGTACTCAAAGTACATGGTAACTGGATGGGACTAAAATAGACCTTCTTACAGATTTTATAAATGTGTGTATTATTTAGCATTATTTTGTGTTGTCCACAGTGGAAAGAAATTGTTGTAACTGGTGGAAGAGCGTGAGGTTGAATTGAGAGAGATGAATTAGCTCTCTCCCCGAGGCTGTCCACCTGCCTGCTGTGCAGTGCCGTTTCCCCAGGGCCTTTCTGGATGCCTAACAAACTTGGCGTTTTCATGTAAACCAGCGCTGTGTTAAGAACCGATAGGCCACAGTACAGCAAAAAAATAAAACAGGCTGCAAATACCTGTGTGAAAATGAAAAATTGCACCAACTGTAAAAATGTGAACTCTAGACTAATGAAGACAGACATGGTCAGTGCCAGCAGCTAATAAAACATGGGTTGTTTTTCATGGTTCTTCATTGATAGGAATAACCTCCTCAACGTTAGATCGATGATGATACCAAGTCTATAAATTAAATCCTTCAACGGCCACAGAGTTCAGCACTCTTTTCTGCCTAAAGGGACTAGAAATGCATCCTCTCCTTCCCTCTGTGATGTTTACCAAATCTTGCTGAACCTCCTGAGCCTCCTAGGTCTTTTCCCCTGTTATTTCTTGCCATTTATTTCTTTCAGTGTTGTTAAATGCAGTTGACTGGTGGTGGTGGGAAAGCCTCACATGTTTATTGGCACTGCATTGGTCTAATTTGTGCGTTTACCTCTACAGCCTCCAGCTAAATACCTCCTACCTGAGATGAACATATCTGACTATGGCAAGAAGTGTGTGGTGATTGACTTAGATGAAACTTTGGTACACAGCTCTTTTAAGGTAAATATTATACTCTTTTTATTTCAATTTAAGCACTGGCATGGTTTTTGACTCTTGCCTGCTTTTTACCAATTTACCTCTTACTCAAATGTTTAACATATTGAATAGAATTTAAACATTTCTTGGCCAATGTGTCTGAATAATATTTTTATAAGTTAATAATAGTGGTTCAGTACATATATCCTGAAAAGAAGCTACATCACTAACTTCACATTAATCTTCCTATGAGCTCATTAAGCCAGGAATGGCCTAGTCTTTCTCCTAAGTTAACCTACACCTGAACCCTCTGTTTAAAACTTGCACCAAGAGCTAGCAGACTGAAGTAACCCATGCCTTGTCTGGGTTTTGCCCATATTGTTTTACATAGGACTGGTGTTGGAAACCATATCTGTTTCCCCAAGATCACACTGTTTGAGATCTAAGTGAGGTTTCATCTCCATCCTGACCCAAGACATTAGTGCTTTCACTGCTAAACATCAGTTAGTTCCCTTAAGCACATTGACTGTGAGGTGATTGAACTGAAACCTATATTTAGAAAGGAACTGAGAGTACAGAAAGGCAGGAAAAACCTCAGGGAGTATATAGGTCTACGTGCCTGGAGTGTGGAACTTGCTTCTGCATTCAGTTTTCCTTTTCCTGTACATATGCACAGGTTCTCAATTTTAAGTGTGATGAAGCATACTGTACAGTGCTACATTTTCTCTTATAATCTCTAGATTTCAAGTTTTAGGGGTAATATATAGAAAGAATCACTGGAAATTTGAATGCTTGATATAATTAAAGTCTTTTTTTTTTTTACTGTGAAAGATTTTTTTTAAAAGAAGACCCATCAGAAACCCTGAAAATAGTGCTGCTGAATGTAATGCAAGCTCTGTTTTTGTTAATGTGGGTTACAGGCCATGTAGGAAGGCCGAGTACTGTGGGATACCATGGGGCCCAGTAAGGGAGACACACAAGTCGGCGTTGTGCAGGAAGCCACTGCTCACTTTAGAGGGGTGTGTCTGTCTGGAAACTTACATTCAGAGTAGTTGTTTACGTTAAGTGAACAGGCGCTTAGATTGGCATTTGTTTTATTGTTTGGATTTTCTTTTATTTTTTCAAACATTTTCTTCTTGTTTTCCCAACACGTCAGATTTCACTGGCTGGATTATTTAGTTCTCTTTCCTTTTCCCATATTTTACAGTGTATGTCCACTGTTTTTCTGAATATCAAGGTTAACCAACACTCTTTACACACAAGAGGAATGTAGATCAGCACAACACTGATAGGGACATACTCCTTTAGAGAGGTAATACAACAGAGGACAGCCACACCTTGTACCTTGTCACGTTTTCCCACTATTCCTGCTAACTGTGTTATCGAGTGGTTTATACTCATTGCCCCTTTTTTGATTGCTGAACTTCTGTAATAAAAAATTATCCTTTAATTCTAACTCATGGAGTTTTCATTTTAATTAAAACTGCACACGTAGAACAATGCTTCAAGTGCAAGTAGTGAAAAGTGAAATTAAAATGAACTTAAAATCAATATAGTAAGCCTTCGTCACAAACATCTTTAGATTTCCTACTTGATAGAATATTGTAGCCTGAGCTGGCTACAATACGTTCCAGTTATGTGGAGTAAGAATTAAAAACTGATAGTGAAGAGCAAAGGCGCCCTCTCCTGGCTTGTTTTCAATATCACAGTCTTATTGTGCCTAACGATTGCTGTTCATGCAATAGTCTCTTAAAATGTTTTAGAACTATAGTTTTGTTTCAATTGCTGCATTCCTTAAATGTACTAATTTTAATAATTAATGGTTTGAATTCAGTGAAATTCATTAGCTGTCTGCTTTCTTTGTGAAACTGTGTATTCAGACAGATTTTGTTCCCTTTAAGCACTTAAAAATTCATTGTTAATTTCATTTTGTGGTCTTTTTTTAATGTTACAAGTATTTTTATCAGACATTTTATATATAATAGAAGGTTAAATCATTATAGTGAAACAGGTCAGACTTATTGCTTAGCTGTGTGATACATTTAGCATTTGCATGCTGCAGACTTTTGTAAAAATTCCATTTGATTAATCTTTCAGAGAGTCTTCCTTGTTCATATCTTAATTTCTGATTTATATAATGGTTACTTATATTTTCTGATATGTGGAGTTTGAGAAATGTGAAATGTAATGTTTTCTGGTAATGAAAATACTTCTTTTAATATTACTTATTAATCTGTTTGGCTGATGCTTTTAGCAAAAGCAGCTTAGATTTGTCTCAAGTGTAAAAGAGCTTGATTTGTACTGGAGCAATTCAGGTGAAGTTCCTTGATGAAGAGTACAACAGCAGTGTCTCCGCTGGGACTTGAACCTGCAACCTTCCAGTTAAGAGTCAAGAACTCCACTTACCTTTGATATTTTAAAACATTCTAAACCTTAAATCTAAAGCTTGTAATTATGCCTGCTGTTACAGAAAGACAGGTCTTTTAACTGGGGTATTGGAAACCATCACATAAAACAGCATGTAAATAACGGTCACCTCTTTTTAATGGATTTTCATCTAATTATAAAAGAGGTTGATAGTCTTACAAGATGCATATTCCATATAATATATAAATAAGACAGCAGGAGAATGAATGTGGACAGATAAGGATACTTGTGTCTGCTCCCATTTGATTGCATGTCTCACAACAGTCCTCTCCTGTTCTCATTCCTGTATTTTTCATCTCAACCTCTTGATATCTTCCCTCATTTTCATTGCTCCTCTTCTGTGGTCCTTTCCATCTTTCTTCCTCTTGACCGCAATCCTATTGCCCTGCTCCTCTGCTAAGAAGTACCGTAGTGGTACTCTTGCATCTTTTCAAAGAATTTGTTTGAAGACCAGCTACTTCGACTTGGAGACTGCAAGACAGTCTGCTCTCACATTGTAAAGCAATGTTGGGTTGTAATTGTAAATAGCTGTAAGTACGTATAGGTGGGGGATATGGAGTTTATTTTCTTCTTTAAACTGTAACTATGATTTATTTTTTTTATTTTTTTCCTTTGCTGAATTGATAAACATAACAATCTGTGCAGCCTGATCAAATAAGAAAAATGTACGAATCTGAGTTGTGCACCTTCATAAATCTTAGTCCTGGTGCATTCAATACTGGCCCGTGATGTTGCATTTTAGACCTACTCTTCAATCCTTAAGTGCAACATGTAAGTATGTATGGTGTTGAAATTGTTTAAATGATTCTTTCAGAGACAAGTGATGTTTTTGATCTCCTTTCTTGGCAGCCTATTAGTAATGCTGATTTCATCGTTCCTGTGGAAATTGATGGCACAGTTCACCAGGTACTGTAAGAATTCATGGTAATTCCTTGTTAAACACAAGTTAGTCTATTTGGCAAGGTAGTACTTAAAATTTTTAGATAAGTACTAGTCTTAGGTTCAAAAGGATTTATATCCATTTGATCTTTCTACACCAATTTCTCCACAACTGGTTTTATAGATCCCCTTTTATGTTACTGTCAGATAATGTGGGTGGACTCCTGAGACAAAATGTCAGCTACAATAAATGGCAATTGAAATAAAGCAGTGAGTGTAGTTCTTTTATTTATCTGTTATAAATTGAAATCTAAATTGATGTGGGTAGTTTTGAAGTTTCCTGTCATAGACCACTACTGGAGTTTAAATTTTAGTAAAAAGGTTCATAAATCAAGTGCATTGAAGTCAGGTCCTCACAAAAGTACTGTACTGTATGTATTTATTGTACCGTTCATGTTCAAGAGCAAAATGTACCATTTTCTGCATCTACTTTCCTTCCTTTTGGCCATGTTCATTAATGGAAAAAGGCTGCTCTGTGTTCAGGTTAAAGGCTGTGACCTGGTTCAAGTAATCCAGGATAGGCTGTGTGTGATCAGATTGGCCTATTCTTGATTACTTGCACTGGGGGGCAGCTGTAACTCTTCAATGAAAAGAACCAGATGAGAATGAAAACTGCTGATGTACAGTCAAGAGAATGCAGAATATCCTACTGGTACTTGAGGTATACTCCATATGTCTCTCTAACAAGGCGCAAAATCATGTCTAAAGTTTAAAAACTTAGTTTTTAACAGAAATCATGGATCATACTCTTCCCTGATATGCAGTTTTTAAATGTAAACAAATGCAAAATGTGGAAGCTATGTTTTGGTTGTTAGAAATGTGTTTTCAGGATGGTGTACAGTTTTTTTAGCTGATGCTAATATATGAAGCTCTGGGGTGAAGTTCATACATACAGTACATGCTTTGCTTTGCCAGATTAAGTAACAACAGTGTGTCTTTAATTGCAGGTGTATGTTTTGAAACGGCCGCATGTCGATGAGTTTCTACAGAAGATGGGGGAACTCTTTGAATGTGTCCTCTTCACAGCCAGCCTAGCTAAGGTTTGTGCCTTACATGTCAGTGGGGTGGTCTGTATTTAACCATTGACAAATGAACAATAGAAATGATCCACTGCACATTATTTAACAAAAATCAAATATTGCATTATTTTTAGAGAAAAGAACAATGTATCTTCCCCCTCAGTGGTTGCTGTCTTAATTTTTCCCTTCTTTTCTGTTTCTGTGTCTGCCGGTGTGTGCTTTATCTGCTAATGCATGGGTAAGTGTTTCCATGGTAACAGTGACACATATGAGCCTGCCTCATGATGTAGCCTCCATGCATTGCTCATGATGTCTTTATGTGAGGCTATTAAGTTACCATGGCAATAGTAAGGTATATATGTTAGTCACATGATTTATGTAGGAGGGCAGCAAATTCTTGCAAAAGCAGGTTTTCTGTCAGATAATGTTGAAGTGAATAACTAGCAAGCATTTGTTGCAATCCTAATTGACAGACCAAAAGATTGAAATTTGATGGGCAGCCACCCACAGTAAACTTTTATTAAAACAGATATTAAAATAGATTTTAATCAGTCAGCTCCTGTCATCACCACTTCACTCTTGCTTTTAAATAAAAATGCCAACTGTAGAAGTGTTTTATACTGGGAAAGCAGACATGTCAGGAGTAAAATGTCATGTATAGATCAAGACTGTGACTCAGCTTCATCGATGGAAAAAGTTGTTGCTTGCTTCTGTTTTTTATATTTCAAGCAAGAGCAGCACACAAAGTTCATCAACAAGAGCTATATCAATCAAAAATAATGTAACTAAATAATGAATTTTTAGATCAAAGAAAAATGAGTTCTGTAAACTAAGAATTATAACGATTTCAATAACATACTAGCAGTTAGGAGACAATCCATGTGTTTATGTTGACTGTCATCACAAGTTTAAGATACTGTTTTGAAATTGTGTCTAAGTATTTTTAGTGCTGTTAAAAGATATACAAATATTGATTCTAAATGTATCTTTTGGTCTGATCATTAGTAAGCCATGTGTTTCTTTTAATGGTGTGATATTGTTTTATATATAGCCTAAGACAGCACCTATTTTCAGATTTACAGCAGACTGAATACGCAGTCCTATTAACCTATATTACTACTTGGAGGAATTGTGTAATACAAGTAGAATACTATTTACAAGGCAGCCTTAGCATTTATTTGCTTTTTAAAACACAACAGCTGCTGTAAATTGTCAATATCTTGCTTAAATTAGGCCTTGAGTTGAGGCAGTACACATAAGTTGTGTTGTATGGCTGTTTTGTCTTTAGGTTATGCTTCTTTTACGTGCAAAAGCCAGAGTTCCATTTAGTTTTATGGGTTTTTGTGCTTGATGACATTTTTTTTATTTAACTTTTGTGTTTTTTTTATCTTACCCCCCCGAGCATCACAGAAGAAAAGCTTGAAAAGCATTGAAGGTTTTGAAATTCACATTTTAATACATGATGCTGTTAGTAAAACACAATCATACAGAGCAAGTTAAAAACTCAATTTGCTTCAAATATTATTAATGTTGAGGGAGCTGACCAATTAAGAACATAAACCTACCCAGAAAATTATCACTTGTTACTTAGTTCAGAACATAATGGAAATCAGCATAAACATTTACATTTTAGCCTGTCATTTGTATATTCAGGGTTAAGGTATATACTGTACATCATTAAATGGGGGGATTGTATGTTTTTGTTCTAAAATACTGAACAATGTACTGGAAATGGTTCTCTTGCAGTGAATTTTATTTCGGTGTTTATTTTTATGTACCATAGAATTTATATTAAAGAGGAGAATGCAATCCACCCCTTACCCTGTCTTTTCCCAGCTTTCCCTTTGTCTGTCACTGTTCTGTCTGTGCTTTTAATGTCTATTAGAATTGTAGTCTTTTCTTTCATTCCAGCTATGTCAATAAACATTGTTTTGTAGATGTTTTTTGGTGTGTAGAATGTAATTCTCAGGACCAGGAACATGCATGAATATTACTAAAAAGAATTTGTATATGTGGGATATTACTCTTATATATACATAGGTCTGCATACTGTACATATACACGACATCTGGGCTGTCATGTAATAGTACCTGTGAAACCAAAGCCCTGAATCATCTAATACAGATCCTGTACCAGAAATAAGATGGAATTCAGCAGATCAGAATTGCTGGACCTGCTTAAGAAATGTAATAATTAAAAAAAAACTTAATTTCAAGGGGAAAAGAGAATCTGTTAGCTTTTAATAACTAAACCATACCATGGCTATCCACATTTTCCTCAGTTCGTGCCTGATAAATAGTTTTTGGGGAAAATGTTCCTGCTTCTTTGAACTTCAATTTTGTTTTTGATGACTGTAGGTTTGTCCAGCTAATGGTCTGAAAAATTACACATTTTTATAATCAAGTTTGTCTATTTGTGCTAAATGTTGCAGTTTATTAAGATTTTTTAATTTGTATTATTTTTGTTTCCATATAGTATGCAGATCCAGTGGCAGATCTGTTGGATCAGTGGGGTGTATTTAGAGCACGACTTTTCAGAGAATCCTGCGTTTTCCACAGAGGGAACTATGTCAAAGACCTGAGTCGGTTAGGAAGAGAGCTTAGCAAAGTTATAATAGTGGACAACTCTCCTGCTTCATACATCTTCCATCCTGAAAATGCCGTAAGTCTTTTTAGTAGTACAGCAACTAGTTAAGAGTGTTCTTATTTATTTCTTTATTTTTATTTATTTGTATGCTATGTTAAGGGCAACATGTTAGATCTTTTATTTTCTCCTGTTTCAACTAATACAAATTAAGGTGGCAAAACCACCACAAAAAGGGTGGGAGAATCTCTAAATTTAGCTGTGTCTGGTCTAAAGGTGTAGGTTTATTTTTTGTAATTAATGATTAACTGTACTGTGGAAATAAAGCCCTATTTATTGCAGGAAATCAAAGATAAACAGTGAAGGTCAGTGTTTTCTTAGAATGTGCTCCTTAGGGCTTATGCATGATGTTCAGCCCTCTTCAATCACTATGAAATAAATTGACAGTGATGGCTAGTGAATTATAATAAGTACGATGGGGCAGACTTAGTGTAAGCTCTGTATAAACATGGAATTGCTAATACTGCTGAAAGGGAGGGAAGAAAAATCTAAACAGCTGTATGGACTATGAAATACATGCAAGACAGTTTCTCATGTCGATATGTTAAAGGCAGATCTGCACATCACATATGCACATTGCTCATTTGTAGACTTGCCATTACTTCATGTGACTGATGACGAAGAACCTGCAAAGACAGTAGTGTCAATAGTTGTACAATGTTATGAATTATTGGAAATGTTGCACAAAATCTTTGTATTCATTATTTGTATAGCTAATACTTTAGGGGATTTGTCTTCACACCAGAGTTGTATTGAAACATGTTGATAACTAATGACAAAAAAACTGAAATGTATAGTAATCAATCTTCAGTGTCTGAAGTGAATTTTTAATCACCATTGTTTGTGATAAAAGCAACAACTCTGCAGCTAAGGAGTAAGATAGGACTGCCTCCTACTAACCTAAGGAGAATAATAACTAATAAATCACAGCTCCATCAATCGGTACATATTAGGTTTCAAACAACAGTGATGTTTATCTACTGTTCCGTGACTTCTGCCTGTCATTTAAATGTTGCCTTTTCTCCTTGACAGGTTCCTGTGCAGTCGTGGTTTGATGATATGACAGACACAGAGCTATTAGATCTGATACCCTTCTTTGAAGGACTGAGCAAAGAGGAAGATGTTTACAGTGTACTTCAGAACTTAAGAGGCAGGTAGCGTCATCTTCAGTGAGGTCCCTCAGCACCACAGCTGTGAGGGATGAGAGACTGTCAGCTGCCTCCCTGGACTGCCTCTCTCAAGCACAGCTCTTTCACTTGTCCATTCATGGCTTGAAGAGGGGACAGCTGTAGGTTCTCAGTGAACAGCAATGCTACTCCCTATTCTTCTGGTTTAACTTCTGAGGGAAGGATTTGTAGTGTGCTCGACTTAATAAGGAGCCAGACGTTACATATGGCCAGAATATTTAAAAAAACTTCAGAAGAAAAACCTTCATTTTTTTCTGACACAAGACTTTTACTATCCTGTTTAAGTTCTTTATATTAACCAAAAACATTTTTTGTGAAAGAAAAAAGACACATTTGGATTTTTTTCTGTTGTTGCTATGCAGGCAGTCTTTTCTTGATCTAACGTAGTATAAATGACTGTGATTTTTTTCTTACTGAATGAAGTGCCTTTTTCGAATGTTTTTATGGGGGAAAAGTTACATTTTGTACGACACATATTTCCAGAGAACTTAACTTTTAATGAATATATGCTTTAAAAGAAGTGGAGATGAATTTTATAAAGCACTGTTATTTATGCTGAAGATTCATTTTTTTAACGGACACTGGGTCTCCATAATATTCTGATTGCTGTTCTTTCAATTGGTTAAAGACAAGCCATTATATAGAAGTGATTTTCTTTCTTTAGTTTATTATATGTAGAAATATTAGTGTTACTATAGCCTTTAATGAAATTAGAGGAATGCATTTGCAATTGTGATGTTTTAAGTTATATTTTATTTTAACTGAAAAGCTTTTAATGTTATATGGTAAAAATGACGTAACTCCATAGGTGACTGAAAGCGTGCCAATGTAAGTTTTTGTAAGTGATGCCATACACTGGATTGCATTACTGTAAGTGCCAGTTTATAGATGTTTCCCATTAAGATATGTGAGAGATGTAAATTTGGGTAACAGCTGAGCACAAATAGAGAATGTAATGAGCTTATGTATAGTAGGCACAATAACAGTCCAATCTAAATGCCCAGTATTTCTTTTAAAGTAATCTTTTTACTCCTAGTTTTATATTCTGTATGTATTTAGGTTTATAAATCTTCTGATTTTTAAGTTCTAAAACAGTATTTTATTTTTTTTTGTTTTAAAAAGCTCCGACTTTAATTTCTCCTGGATAACGGGAGAAAACTACAACACTACATTAAAATCTGACTTTTTCACATTGAATTTAATCTGCTGTTGCCGAGTTTTGAACAGTCTCGTTCAAAAGGTAGAAGGGAAGTGTCCTTCTGAAGCTGACAAGGTGATATACAATTGCAAATGTATCCTTTTGTTAACTATAAACCCTTGATCGTCTAGATTTTGTTTAATGAGAACAGCTTGTTCAAGCTGGTGAACTGGGATTTTATTTTTTGTTCTGTTTCGATTCATGCTGCTGCTAGCGTACAGTCACCAAATGGAGTTGGCTAATTAAAACTGTTCCTCACCACTGTGCCTAAACCTGGACATACTTACCACCGCTGTATGCTGCAAATCTGGGCAATAAACTCAGAGGACAGACTGATTGATGACATACTCCTGGTTCCTGCACACTTCACAGCTTTTATTTTTTTTTCTTATAAATTAGTCCATTTTGAATAAGATTTATACCCATGTTGTCCAAGAGGTGTTTCTTCCAAAGTGTGTACAGTAAAGCTCTGTCTACAGCATTTACCTTTCAAGTATTATACATACAGTACTTTAATGAAAAGGAAATACAATATATATTTCTAACATATTAAGATGTTCTAAATTGGTTAGTTTCAAGGTTTGTGTTCTGATTTGTGAGTGTTCGGAATCCTATGGGATCAATATATAATAGTTAGCTGTGATAAATTTGTTTTATGCACACACTTGTGGATGGAGCATTCTTCTGATCTCCCTGCATGTGTACACATTCTGTGCGCATACAATACCACATTACCACCCTTTGCCCAAATGCACAGTTAGTTTTTCCACATTTTCACATTTCACATCATCATTTTGGATATATACAGTATATGCTCAGTATTAAGCTGCCACATTAAAGTTAAAGTTGTGGAATAAAGCACCATAACCACATTTTCCCTTTTCCTATGAATTTTGTCCGCTAATAAAGGGTTTTTAGTTGATCAGTTCTAGGAGTTAATATTGTATTTAGGTTGTATTTCTGTTTTTTTTTACCTGAATGTGTACTGTATGACAGAGTACAACAATTTTTGGATAAGTGACACTGCGAAGACTTGTTTTGAAAATAAGTGGTATATCACCCTATACATGGAAAAAACATTCTTTTCTGTTCTGTTCAGCTTTTGTCTATACCAGTTTATATTTTTTTAAACAAGTGAGCTTTTATTGGGATTCATCTAAACAGATTTGGAGTTTACCCTGTCGGTGAGCAGTACTGTCCCCTCTTGTTTGCAACATATTTTAATTCAAGTGTTAACATGGTTTTGTAGCATATGTCTTTCAGACAATTACAACCTATTAAAGCACCTTTTTAAAAACAGGACCTTCAAAAGTTTTCTGTAACTAATAACCTTTGGCTGTACTGAATACATTGCTGAAATAAACTGTCTACTAGCCATTTCACCTGAAGACTGCAATGCCTAGCCTGAATCAATAGCAGTTATTTCTTATTTTTATTGAATTTCCTGGTGAATTGCAGTCAACAAAGTGTAGTACTTTTAAATAACACTTTCATTTTAATAAGTTATGATGGTGTTCATGATAGAATTTTCATAAATTTCATATGAGTACATTATTTACCAATGTGGCCCTCTTAAGTACATAAATCAAATAATTATTCAATCGAACCATTAAATTCCTACATGTTAAATAAAAGTAATAATAGTAGCTTCAGTTTTGTAAAAGCTGAATCCAAGATTTTGGTATAGAGTTCCTTTGTACAATAAGGGAGCACTAATCAATACAGGAAATATGAAGCCATGCACACACCTTATCTTCCCTGTTGGAAAAATTATCACCTTCAGCAATTAGTCATCCACATTTAATAAAGGAAGAAGTAATAGGTTTATTCCATGCTGAAAAAAAAGAGAGAACACAACGTTTCAGCCGTGGAGCCTTCTTCAGGTGTCAAAAAGACACCTGACACCTGAAGAAGGCTCCACGGCCAAAACGTTGTTTTCTTTCTTCTTTTTTTTCAGCATGGAATAAATCTATTACTTGTTCCTTTGCAGCCTCCGCATGCTGACCCAGCTACCCACCTGAACTACCACATTTAATAAAGACATATGTCATACTAAGTGACATGAAATGCAACGTGCTTAACACATTAATAAATGCTGTACAGACTGTGACTAATACACAAACACAAAGTGCTCAGAGTGTAGGTGTAGTTGCATCCTTTCACCCTTTACTATGTACTGTACATGATATTATACATTACACAAATCTTCCTAGAAACAAACATCCTTTTAGAAGAGTATTTTCAGTTAATACAACCAAAGAACACTTTCTTAGAGAACTGCAGCTAATTCTCAAACTTTACAAAAACAAAAATACCCCTAACAAAGCTTACCAGAAGGGTGTTGGTAAAATTGTAATAGATGTAGGTATAAAGGTGAAAAACTGTTTACATCCGTTATAATCTTGATAACTAAATATCTTTAAACCTAGAAGTTTTAAAATTCACAAAATGTTTCTTTTAAACAATGAAACAATAAGAACCTTAGTCTCATTACACAGAAAACCTGAGACATTTACACTTTTAAAATGCATTTATATAAATGATGGAGCTAACCATGGGGTACAGTATGTCCAGTTCCCTTGTATTTCCTTACTTTGACTCTGTACTATTGTTAGGTTGAACATGTTTGGCTGAAGAAATAGTGTACTGATTAACTGTGCAAAAAACATTATTTAAAACTGCAAAAGTTACAAAATGTGTTACTTTTTGCAAACATTGCACTTAAGTTATTGCATTGAAAAAGTATGACGTGCAATAAATAGGATATAACGGTTGCAAACGAGAAGAGGCGATTTGGCTCATCTAACTCGTTTGGTTTCAAATTCAATTTCAATTATGTTTATTAACATTTTTTATCAATGGGGTTCTACTGTAGAAGTCACAAGTAAATAGTTTGTGGTCACTGTTGCTGTAGGAAGCAATATTAATGTTACTTCCGAGATGTACAATATGCTTTGCACTAGGTCCCACAATGTCTTGTGAGATTCTGGACCTTGTTAACTTGTTACTCTGCATGCTACTTGTTAGCTCTGCATGCACAACCTGTACTGTACTTATTCGCTGGTTACATTACATTAGTCATTAAAGTAACTAGTGAGCAGGAACGGTTGATAGATCCTGCACTAGCATGTGCCTGACCACTGTTCTCTGAGCTCTGGATGTCACATTTCATCCCACATATGTTCAACAGGGCTAAAGTCTGGTGAGATGGGATTCTATCCTCCTCTTGTTTTCTCACTTCACAAGAAACGTGTGTAACAAAAGCTAGCAGTTTTGCTGGAATGCTGTTGCAACAGGATAAGCCCATAGGAGGGACAGAGAATGACGTCCTAGGTTTTGATCAATGTCGTGCCATGTGGTCAGGTTGCCAGCAAGCACTACAAAGGGGAGTTCTGTTATGACTCTACTCTTGCCAGGATCATCACTAAGAATTCCAAAAGAGAAGTGATGGATGTTGGAGACTCCATTTTCGAGAAGACTGTAAATTTCAGATTGTGAGAAGACGACGCAGACAGTGGAGAACAGGACTAATCCTGTCGTTTTATCAGGAATCCTTCCAGCACCAGGCAAAGATGAGTAGCTACAAAGATTAATCCAACATCATAACACATGGAGGAGGCCATGGTGTGTCAAACAAGGATTCACCTTTCTTGACCACTAGAAACTTTTCCCTTGCAAAGACCATCTGTACAGGTGTGATAGATTATGTCTGAATGCAGTCGGCACCAGTCTTGGCAAAAGACCCACATTCAGAAACAAATTAACTAGATCAGAGAAGCTAAAGAACTTCAAAATAAAAGTTGCAAGAGTAGCAGAGACATAGAGAATCAAAGGGGAAAACAAAACAAATGTCCAGGTAAATGTTTATACCTGAATGTTAGGAGTATTTGAAGCAAATTACAGGAAATAGAAGCTAGCTCATTAGCAGGCAGTCAATTGGGATCACAGAAACATGGCTAACTGGAAATGATGGAGATGTAACTTAAGTGAATAAATACTGTTCCAGAGAGACAGAAAAAAAGAAACGAAGGGGGCGGGGGTGTAGTACTATACACTGGATATCAAAAGTCTACAAACTTTTGTTCATGTAAAGCCTGAAATAAAGATGTTGTCAGACCCTTTTTCATCTTTAAAAAGATTTTGCAGTCAACAATATTTAAGTTAAAAACAAATGGGTCATTTTTAGGAAAAATAATTAAAAAGAAACTTTTATTGCCTTGGTTGCATTAGGGAAATGTGGTAGTAATGTGGTGTGCTTTGAAATATATTTTGAAACTGTTCAGACTGTGTTCAAATCCAGAGTTTATTCAAGGAAGCAGACTTGGTAGGTAGCTTCAGAGAAGTAGAAAGGAACAGCATAAGTATTGTGTCATTGGAGAATGGGTGACAGCTGTTCAAAGAGGAACTGCAACGCTATTTTTACATTTCGGGGTTATAAAAAAATTGGCATTGACGGGTTCATTTCAAACCACAATGAGCATACAAACGTATGGTGAAACTTCCAATTACATCACAAAATAGACAAAAGTTCTAGGTATGCGTAACGCCATATTCCCATTGTCTGCGTTTCAGAACGAAGCAACAAAAACGTGATGTAAGGTGGGCTTATTACATTGTAAAAAAGCAGGATTGTGAATACATCCATTTCAATCCAATAGAAATCTTCTATCTATTAAGTCGTAAAATACATTTAATGTACATCTTAACCTAGGTCTTAATAATCATGTGAAAAAGGATCACTTAAATTGTTTTTTTTTTCTGTTTTTCTATAAACACTGATATCACACACTCTGTTCTCTCCACCAGTTGCTTTTTATGGGCAGAAATGCTAGGAATGGCACCTAGTTTGAGCACAAGTTTTGCTTTAGTATCTGAAATGAAAAGATCTTCCATATTAAGAATGGTCAGGCTTCATAATCTTACAAATGCCAAAGCGGAGAAAATTTCAGTACACGTTCCGTCCCATATTAACATTTGAAAAACAATCTATTTCTGTTGCAATAGAGAGCTTGTTGTAGACAAGCGAATTTTGCTACTGTATTAATTTATACATAATGTTATAAAACTGTCACATACAATGCGACATGTTTTTTAGATACTTTATCTAGACTGCTGATTTGAATGTGCAATTTGATTGTATTTAAATGTGACTTCGAGACTTGCCAACAAAACACAACTTGATAACTCTGCATGCACAACCTGTGCTGTACTTATTTGCTCCTTACAGTACATTAGTTGTTTCAGTCACAAGTGAGCAGGAAGGGCTGATTTTATGTCAATTCTCAAGAACTCTCACTCTCTCCTGTTGCGGTTTGCGACAACATTGCGACCATACAGTACTGTCACAGAGTTCACGATTTTGTGCTTAACAAGGAATTTGTCACATTTTGTGATATTGGGAAGGGAAATTCAAGTGGTTTCTAAAACAATTAAAATGAACAGGAATCATAAGGAGTACAATGAACTGCAAGCAGGGGTTAAAGGGATGTAAGGAAGGCTAAGAGCGAAAGGAATATTTAAATGGAGGCTAAACAAATAACCATTTAGTACTAGAACAGCATACAAACCATTAAGAATAACATAAAATGTAGCTGAGACAATGGTAAATGTTCATTAAGAAACCTTGGGCAGCAGAAGGAAGTTCTTAATTAAACAGTATTAACATAGAAGAGGCAGAAGTGTTTCAGAAGTACTCTAGAAGTGCTCAATAATTAACTCCAGGGTCTGGTAATAGTTTACCAGTTGTACTCGAAACACAAATGGTATTCATTTAATGGAACTTAACTGTCACTCGAGACAGGTGTAGTACCAAAGGACTGGAGAATGGACAGACCTAACTTTAGATCAATAAGTCTGTTATTTGTGTTGTTTGTAAGTTTATGGAAATAATTATTAGAACTAAATTGGAGGATCACTTATGTGAAAATAACATCCTATATAGATTATATAGATTCATTACAGATCCTATATAGCATATACAGTAGATGGACTATTCCCTTAAATTTATAACTAGGGAGTAGTAAATATAGATTTAGAAAAGGTGGTTTTGCTAATCCAACATATTGGAGTTCTTTGGACAAGGAACAGCAATAACGAATACAGAGCATGCTTTGATTTTTGGAAGGCCTTTGCTAAAGTTTCAAATAAAAGATTAATTATCAAATTACATGTAATTAGTATGCTCAAAATATGAGCATTTGGATTGAGAATTGATTAATAGAAAACAGAGTGCTGGTAAGGGGTGAATGTTCAAACTGAGGTTATGTAATTAGTGGAATACCACAAAGATCTGTACTTAGGACCACTGCTCTTCTTAATTTATATAGTTTGTCTAGCTTCTGGTATTATAAGTAAACTTGTCAAGTTTGCAGAAGATACTAAATTAGGAGAATTAGATGATAACACTCTAGAAAATCTATAAAGCTATAATTAAAATCCTTCCAGGTTTAGGAAGTGTGAAAATGAAAAAAAGAGTTATGCAGGGGTATACTGTTAGGAAATAGCTCAAAACTGCAATTAGTGGGGTCAGGTGACATTTGCAAATGCAGTTCTCGAAGAGTTGAGAGAGGAACTTCTGCAGATGAGTCCAAAGAGGAGCAGCCCTGAAACAAGATGCAAACATACTATATTACTGAAGGAAACAGGTAATGGATTATGGGACATTCTGGCCAGTGTCACATTTGCAAAATGTTACAGAATGGTGAGGAAATACCTTAATCCTGATTGCATTTCCACAACAAAGTCTTCTATGAGGTAAAATCATACAGTACATGCTATTTTCACACTGTGTTCTCTGAAGGCAGTGAGGAGCAATGTAAAGCAAGTGTTTATACTTTGTTTTATACATCATACAGTACTCTGCTGTCTGTCTTAAGGTTCTGTGATCCACTTAACAGTGAATTTGCAGAGGGAGAGACTGAGACAGTTTCGTATTTGGAAGTAACTGCTTTTGGTAAGTTAAAGTTAGAGAAAGTGGAGGAAATGCTTTTTAACTGAGTGGAAATATATGATTTACATAAGCATAATCACACATGGTGATATGACAGTATAGGCTGCAAAGTGATAAGTCTGCAAGAGATAGGAAAGTTACAGCTGCTCATTCATTCTGTGATGGATGTCAGCAGCCACATCAACCTGCAACTCACAACTGGCAGCCCACTGAAGCTAAGCGGGTGTGAGCCTGGTCAGTACCTGCATAGGAGAACTCCTGGGAAAAACTAAGGTTGCTGCTGGAAGAGGTATTGGAGGGACTAGAATGAGGTGCTCAGACCGTGGTCTTTGTGGGTTATAATGCACCAGTATAGTGAGGGGGACACTATACTGTAAAAAGGCGCCGTCCTTCAGATGAGACGTAAAGCTGCAGTCCTGATTTTCTGTGGTCATTGAAAATCCCAGGGTGTTTCTTGACAAGAGTAAGGGTGCTACCCCAGCAACCTGGCCAAATTTCCCTTTGGTCTTTACCAATTATGGCTTCCTAATAATCCTTATCTATCAATTGGCTTCATCACTCTGTTCTCCCCTCCTCGCTGATAGCTGATGTGTGGTGAGCGTACTGGTGTCACTGTCGCATCATCCAGGTGGGGCTGCACATTGGTGATGGTGGAGGGGAGTCCTCATTATTATTATTATTATTATTGTGCTCTCACGAGGCACCAGTTCAGTAGGGTTTGGGCATTTACGGGGACAATTATTAATTATTAATTGTAGCAGTAAATCACAAAATTGATTCTTTTGATGGCTTTAGAATCCAACCATGCAATATAACTCAAACAACGCACACACACAGGTACTAATACATGAGGATACATTTATTAATACATAAAATATGCATATAAACCTAACTCGAGAGAGTTATCAGAATACAAAAGGTATATATTCCGTCAGTTACGAAG